AATCTTGACCTGGATAGTCTGGTCACGGACACAAGTTCCAGGCCGTGAAGCGCTGATGCATCTCACCAGGTATTGCCGTCCGCACGATGCTCCATTGTCCCATATCCCATCGCCAGCTGCTGCGAACAAATTGGTCGACGGAAACTGGGATTGGTCATCACCATAGCACGCCGTCGCTGCACATAATAATCAAATCCAAAAAGGAAAACAAAAAACAAGTTTTGAGCGACAGCATTATTGAGAGATGAAGTAAATTGGTGAAGGGCTGAAGGTTTTGCAGCTTGAATTGAACCTGAGGGTACTCACGTAAATACGGGGGGCTGTACTGGGCAGCAGTGCCAACATCGGCATGGGAGAAACGGAGAAGATTTGAAAGAAAGAGGAGAAAAGACAGAGGTTGAAACAGTGGCAGTTTCTTGATCTGCATTTTGCCAAAGAAGTAGAGAAGAACACAGAAAAACAATAAAGTTCGCCCCTGCCAACGAAGCAAATAGATTTTTATATTTGTATTATATAATGACCTTTTAGGTCAACCAATAAAATCAGGGTTTAGTATTAAGAAACTTAGAAGAAACGGCTGCTTGAATTGTCAATGAATGCCAACTCATTACGCGGAATTAATCTTTATCTCTACAGTGTCTTTTTCCCAAATTAAGTAATCTTAAACCAGCAACCAGGCTTTGGTTTTCTCCCACACAGCAGCAATTAATTGTAGGAACTCTTTAATAAAATCTTTTAGCTAAATGGCATTCTGCTAAAGGCCTACCTAAGTTGGCGATTTTCGCAGGTCCTTTAACAGCTGAAGAAAATGCAACTATTAATCTCCAATCACTTGAGGAAGAGTGGATACTACGTACTGCGCAGTGTCTGTCGGATCTGATTAATGTCCACAGCGAGCTGCCCCTGAGAGCAACCAGCCAGCAACACAAGTTGAGAACGGAGAGGCATTTATGTTATATATGCAACTAACAACTAATTTATTTGACTTTTCATGTTTAAATAATTGGTGCAGTTCTCTGGAGAAATTAATAATTTGGGATGGTAGGTTTTGACCATTGACCCAGGCTGAGTGCTCATATATTATCGGTAAAGCTTAGTCGAGGTTGGATTTGAACATTTTGATTTACTAATAAATATACATTCTAGAAAAAAAAAGTTACAAAATATATCTATCAATTCGATCACCTACCTTGAGCTGTCTAAAGAAGCCTCAGACCGAAGATTGGGGGCCACTGTGAGCTTCCTTTGACGAGCATCACTGTTTTATTAAGTAAATTTGGGTAAATTACTGAAATCAGTTTAAGTTTTAATCACAATTAAATTTAAATCCATAACTATTAAAAATAGAAATTTCACTTCAAAACCCTTAACTCCGAGTCCTATGAAGTGAGATACACCGCATGCACACTTTTCTTCTCAAAACCGTTCCTTCAATTTTAGACCTCTCCTTGTTCAACTGCAGAACCTCGGATCCATGCCACCACCAGCACCATCCTTCGCACCACCAAACAAGTTCACCATCCCGAAAGCCTATGTGTCATCACCCCTTGACAGCAGCCACACCAATTCAACTTCAATAAACTTTTCAAGGCCCAAACATACAAATTAAAGCACAAAAACACCACCTTTAATTTATACACCGCCCACAGCATAGCACATGCTTACAACTGTATCATCCTTGATCTCACCCCGTAAAACAAAGACCAAGCCAACATAAAACACATACTTGAGGACAAAATCGATAAGCAAAAGTTTTCAGTTTAAACTTTACCATGAATTGTTAGTTTCTTTTTCATTTTATTTATTTTTTTTGATGTTTTATATTGTAGTGTCACGATTCTCGTGTGGATACGAATCTCACATCGTAGAGATAATGTTCTTAGCGAATAAGCCACAAAGTCTCATATTCCCAATAGAGAGTAAGAATAGATGTCATGATCCTGGAGAGGAAAGTCATGAATCTTTCATTGATTATGTATTAGAGTGATATTGGAAATATAAGGACTCACACTACCTTTAACTTGTAAAATGTCTTTTGTGAGATAAAACCGTGAGATCAGCGGTTCAAAGCGGACAATACCTCATAGGAGTTGGTGTGGACCGTAACAATTGGTATCAAAGCGATATCTGAATACTATACAATGGATTCTTTTGAAGTGGGAGAAGATGTCATAGTCCGTGCATGAATGTGAATCCCACCTCGTCAAGATAATACTTCCATAGCACAAAATTGTGAGGTTAGCGGTCCAAAGCGAATAATACCTCATAAGGGTTAATGTGGACTGTGATACCAGCGGTCCAAAACGAATAATATCTCACAAGGGTTAATGTGTACCGTGGCAATTAGTATCAGAGCGGACTTTGAATACTAGCAATGTGCCATTGAAAACAATGAATCCTTGTTGAAGTGGGGGAGGATGTCACAATCCTCATGTGGACGTGAATCCTACATCGTCAAGATAATGGTCTCATGACTCCCACATTAGCTATGTATTAATTATGTGTTAGAGTGATATTGGGAATATAAGGGTTCACATCACTTTTAATTTGTGAGATCCCTTTTGGTGGGATGAAACCACGAAGTTAACAGATCAAAACGGATAATACCTCACACAGGTTGATGTGGATCATGATATATAACAACCCATATAATCAGTTGACCAAACCCAAACTAATTATAACCATTGTGCTATATTTATGTATGTATGTATAAGCTCTGCACCATTCAACTTATCGAGTATTGCTTGGTCACAAGGAGAGAGATCTTGAGCAGTTTATTTTGTGAAGGAGAACCGATTCAAGCAACAGGTTTGGATACTTGGAAGTCGCCTGGAGGAAGAAATATTTCAATTTACAATGGTGTGGATGATTGGTGGTTCATGGAATGGTTCTTGGTTGACACTTGGTAGAGAGTCTACTCCAGGATGGAGATGCATTTGCCGGTGGTTTGACTTATTGATAACAATTACGGCACATTTAGTGGAATGAAATAAAATAAAATAGAATAATTATCATATAATAATAAAATAAAATAATTATTATTTAATCTTATTTATAAAATGAAATCCCTTAGAAATTAGTATAATTCATTTTGATATTTGGTTGGTAAAATTAATTTTAAAATAGTTAAGAAATAAATAATAAAATTATAAAATTTCTCTTTATTATAATTTAATAATCTAAATAAAATTACTTATTTTTATAATTTAATAATATTTTTCCTTTTTAATCTTTTAATTTTATTTTTATTAAAATTTTAAAATTTTAATAATTTATTATTAAATTATTAACATAATTTTTTATTTTTTCTATTTATGTATTTTCATTTTTAAATATTTTAATTTTTATTTTCATTAAAAATTTTGACATTTATAATGTATTCTTAAATTATTAATATAATTTTTTATTTTAATTTTTTATTTATAAGTTGTAATTATTTTCAATGAATACGAAACTTTTTATCCAATAAATTTTTGACTGACATGGAAAGGTAAGGAATGACTAAGTCAAGATTTTGGGAATAGCCGTTGCTTGGAATGACTACTCCTCGCCTCAAAAACCAACCAAACAAAAGAATAAAAATGAGAAAGGAATAAGGGGAATGGCTTAGCTACTCCCCATACCAAACGGGCCATTAGTGTTATGATGTGAAAAGCTGAAGTAATGGCTGCAACAACAACCTCTGTTATGAACACGAGAAACAAGATGAACAGAGCTAAAATACCAGCAAAGAAAATAGCATCAAACATTACCTTCATTCATCTGAAAGTTAATTACAAGAAATATATATGAATTATACATGATTAACACTTGTTATATTGCATGAACCAAGTGTTTAGATTAAACAACACGGTGAACATGCATGGCTTCACGTTACAAAACAAGGTACTATGCTATAAGTTTTCTTTACAGCAAAACAACCAGAGATCTTGTCCACGTTTACTCACCATGCTAGTATACACCTTAACAAATTAGGGCAGCTAGTTTGAATTATTTGTGTCCCTTATGTAGATAGTGCAATAAATCATCTCCTCGTTTATTATGATCAGCCTCGTCAAACTTTGTAAACTTGAGTCTGTATACATGAAGTATAGAGGTTAGGGAGCTGCAGTAATTGTTCGCTCCTTTGTTCTTGTTGCTCAAAAAAAATGGATACAACTCGTATGAAGTTTTTGAAGCTAGGAAGTTCAAGAACCAGATTTCTGAGTTTGCCAGCTTGTGATGCATGCTTAATTGGTTAAAACGTTGTTATATTTTTGCACTGATGCCAGCTTCTGGGGCATTTTTTTTGCTGTTTCTATTGCTGGGTTCACCATATGGTTTCTGGACTGGGTTTTTGTTTGTAAGGAGCAACTTTGAGGTTTGGCCGAAAGAATTCATGGTCATGGTTTTCTGAGTTTCTCTGATGAGTTTCTAGCAGAAAGTAGCCATGCCGATGTTTTGGTGATGGCTTCACTTCGAGTGCCTCGATTGATCACTGTTGAGTCAGGGCATCTTGACAATAGGAGTGTGTCTTTGATTGATCACTTTTTATGTCGTTTGGGAGGGAGAAAAAAAAAGAGAGGAGGGGATTTGAGGAAAGGCGGAAGAAAGAAGTGCAGGTACAAAGAAGAAAGAAAGAGAAAGAATCCTCACTAGCGAAGTGAGGAGAAGAAAAAAATTCTGAAAATCATTTAAAAGCATATAACAAATGCAGAAAGGATAAAATAGGTATAATATTAGTATAACATCATGAAATAAATAAAAACGTTAATGACAAGACTCATATGTCCAATGATACATAAACTTTCTCAACCAATTATCCATTTTTAATGCTATCAGACTTAGATAAAATTATGATCACAATTTTATAAGTTTCGAGTAATTTACTTATTAAATTTCGGTAAGATTACCTATGTAAGGTTACCAATGGATGCCTCAGAATTTTTCCCTCAAAAATATGAATACTCTTTTCCATCACATCTCCAATACATTTTAGTAAACAAATTTCACAAGTCCGATTTAAAATGAGTATCTAATTAAATTTCAATAAGAGCAAAACTCAAACTTACGACTTTCGGTAGTGGTTTCATGGTGCTACCAAAAAGTTGCAAGGATTTCAATGGAGCCAGTTGCCCCATCGTAAAGTCGTAGCGGCATGCATTCATAAACTCTGCAAGACAAGCCAAGTTCTTCATATATTTAAGTGCTCTACTTGCAAATATTAAATACATTTTCACCGTATAAATCCGGTTTACATGTTCCATTTTGCCCAAAACGCACAAAGCACAATAATAGAAACAGAATCACTTCCACAGCTTCCGCAAGGACATGTTTTTCTCTGTCTCCTTCTTCATCACCTTCGCCACTGCCATCTCAAAATCTTCTTGCGTTACATGGACTCTCCTTTCTCTCAAAGCAAACATCCCAGCTTCTGTGCATACCGCCTGCAAAAGACAGGAGTTCGTCAAACAAGCACCAAATACACAGGACTAGGTTGACAAACACTGGTTATTAATCAAAAGCCTTTAGCCTTCCCACAGCAGCATTTGATTATCCAGATTCACGTGCATAAACATTTTCAATAAGTTTGTAATATGGGTTAAACAATCATCATAAACCTTATGGATGTTATAAGAATGACCTCAGCGTAAATAGCAAGATATCAACTTCTGCCAAAAAGAAAAAAAAAATCCATGCAATTATGTCAAAAAACCTGAATGGGAGTAAGGAACTTTCTTTTGTTAGTTAAAATCATAATTATAAGTGCCATCCAAGGCTTCTAGCACAACATTATAAAAAAACCTTGAAATGAGAGAGCTAATAGTGTAAAATTAACAAAGCTTGAAACATAACAATCTTCAAATGACTTTCTTTGTCTCTGTGTGGTTGGGAGGTTAGGGATGGGGACAAGGGGGAGGATCTAGAAGAAAAGATGCTATACGCAGCTTGCAACCATTGGGAGAATGGTATCTCTGTATCCAGAAAACACACACAATTTAATTGATCGAGTATCTGCAAACTTACCTTAAGCTCTGCACCAGAAGCACCATTCATCTTCTCTGCAATCTTCTTTAAATCAATCCCCCGCATCAAATTCATTCTTCTAGAATGTATTTTTAAGATATCCAGACGAGACTGCATACGATAGAAAAGATAACATAAGTACCAGCATAGCATCTGCACTGCATGCTCTCTAAAAACAGAGAAATTCTGGTACAAACTGTACAAGCAACACAATGCCGTTATATGATTGCTCTATTCAATGAAGGTTCTGCACAATACCCCAAAAGGGTTGATCATAACAGCAAAAGAACCTCAACAACTACCTAATTGAAAATTTTTGCCTTTATGACAAAGTCTGAAGTGACAGAAGAACCTTCTATTGGATAGTAGCAGCACATTACAACAGCAAGAGCACAATAAAAATTTGTTATGTCAGGAATCACTAGATTCCAGACATGATAATGATTCTTTGTTTCTCCCTGCAGATATATATATATATAGAGAGAGAGAGAGAGAGAGAGAGAGAGAGAGTCAATACACTATGAGTTGAACAAGAACTAATGCCAACCTTGACACATAACACAATCAATGATGCATAATCAATGAATTCGTGAGAGTTCCATATTTTCATCAAATACAACCCCCAACAAGGTGGCAATGAGGGAGTGGCTTTATAAAGCCTTAACATGAAAAAGATGGAGAAAGGTACTAAAATGCTTGCACGGGCATATAAATTAACAAAAAAAAATGGCACGTACCTCCTCATTAGGATTTGGAAATTCAATCTTCCTGTCAATTCGTCCTGGCCTAAGAAGAGCTTGATCCAAAATATCAATCCGATTTGTGGCCATCAGAACCTGTTCAGCAATGCATCAATGCAGGTAAGGAGGCAATACAAATAACTGTATGCAAACTATGAGATGTTCTTCCACATTCATTAGATTAGTATTTTCACGAAGCAATCGCTACCTTGATCTTGTTAGATGCTTCAAATCCATCAAGCTGGTTGAGAAGCTCCAACATGGTCCTCTGCACCTCACTGTCACCATTGCCACTTCCAGATTCCATTCGAGCAGATCCAATACTGTCTATCTCATCCATGAATATAATCGACGGAGCATGCTCCCTAGAGAGGGCAAAAAAGAAAAACATAGGAACAAACCATTTAAGTAAAATAAGAAAGACAAAGCAAAATATAACAGCACGGTAGGTAATCAGACAGAAGCAGCTTTACTTCGTCTTTCAGGAAACAGAAAATCTGGCTATTGGCTAATACCTAATTCTAGATAGAACGTAAACTTTTCTTTTCTTGATCACAATCAAAAGGAAAAGAGCTTTAAAATCAAATCCATATAGCTGCTATATTGAAAGAGTCTTACTTTGCTATTATATATAAGATGTTCTGCATTTGCATTTATTTAAATTTATACATCATGGTGCTGGCTTAATATGCAAGTCTCATTCAACACTAAGAATTAACGACAACAAGCAAGGAAAACGAACAAACCTGGCCATAACAAAAAGTTCTCTAACCATTCTGGAGCCTTCTCCAATGTATTTCTGAACTAATTCAGAACCAGACACCCTGATAAAAGTACAATCAGTATGATGGGCGACAGCTCTAGCCAATAGAGTTTTTCCTGTACCAGGTGGTCCATACAGCAGGACACCCTATAAATTTATGATAGAGAGCAAAATTTAGTCTTACAATTTAATCATATGGGAAACAAATCAACAAAATGCTATGACTTGGTAGCATAATAGTACCTTTGGCTGAGCTATTCCAAGACTCTCAAACAATTCAGGATGTTTAATAGGAAGTTCTATGACCTGCAAATTTTATCACATAGCAGGTGTAAAGAATTAAACCAATCCACAAAAAACATGGGGCAAATAGTTGAGGAACATTACAGATAAAGGAAAAACCAAAAAGAGATCGGCCATAAATGAACAAATTAAGGAAGTGTGAGAGTAAACCTCTTTTATCTCTTTAATTTGTTGGTCAAGACCACCAATCATGTCATATGTAGAATCTGGAACTTTTTCAACTTTCATAAGATTAACCAAGGGATCTACTTTGCTTGGTAAGATCAGATGGAGCACATAGCTGTCATTGCGCAGAGCAACTCTTGTTGAAGGTGTGATTTTTGTGATATCAATATTCTTATCGATATCAACAACATATTTTCCTTCTGGATGAACCTAGAGAATAAAAGCAGAGTAAGATTGAAACACACACTCCATAAATGACACCATGGACTTCTTAAAAAGAAAATTAAGTATTAATTTGAAAACATATTTTAAGTATTAAACAAGATGTTATTCCTATTAGTAAAGTCAAAGAGAGAGCTAAAAATTAAGTAGGGATAAAAGGATCACATACCTTGACTAAAACCTTGTTTTTACCCATAACTTTCACAACCTCACCAACATAGGATCCAGGCTCTTGAAGCAGCTGCAGTTCCTCCCTAAGCATTCTCACTATCCAGTATGCAAACATAATAAGTACTTATAAAAGAAATGGACTAAAAGAATGAAAGCACCAAAAATAAAGATCAAATTTTTATTAAAAAAACATATGTCAACCTAAGCTTCAAGGCTCCATATATGCCAGAAGAGGCTATCATAAACAAAAATACTAAACAGAAGGCCCCACAAAATAATGTCATATGTATTAGATGCACTTTCCAAGTAAAAATACAATAATGTTCAAATAAACCCCATCCATCCCTTCCAATCAGAAGACTATTAAACTGGCAAACACCAAAGTAAATGGCAATAACAGTAGAAGATTATTACACAGCATTAACAATGGCCAATATTACCTTTCTATTTCAAAGGCACATAGTTTCCAACCATACAGAAAAAAGGGATATATCAACGCAAATTTTATTGACAAGATCAAATAACAACTTCTGGCTACACTTTTTACTTGCAAAACTTGGGGCCTTCAAAATTCAACCAATAGTTTTCATAATCTACTATTAACTTTCAGTTAAGACTTTCCCAGGTGGTGTTAAATTAGAATATTAATAAATTTTCCAAGTCACTTCCATTGCATCAACCACAAAGTTCTCTCAGATCTAGAACGAAGTCAACCAAACCTCTAAGCTCAATCAAATCTCTTGTTTCATTGCTTTTTATCAACTAACACAGCCCAATTTCCAAAGGAATCAGCAGATGTCATCAACGCCTAACCTCCACAAATTTCTTAACCAACAATCTCCCTCAGATTCTTGCTAACGTTAATTCAACTAAATATCAAATTTTCTCACAGATCAAAACACAAAGTTAACAACTTTCCCTAAAATTTCAACAAAAACCCTAATCTCAAATCGACAATCTCTATCGAGCCAAAAAATTAAAAAAAAAAAAAAGACAATAATGGAAGTGAACAATATAACATTAGGGTTAAAGTACCTCGAGAATTGAGCTCGTTGCGTTGGGCTTCCAGACGGTTGAGATTGTGGGTTTTCTGGCGAAGATTGAGCTGGAGCTCATGGATGTGTTGGAGATAGTACTGCCGGAGGCCTTCCCCCTGCTTGGCGCCGCTCTTGGCGGTGCACATCTCCTCCGTTGACGCCGGTTGCTTCCTCTCGATACCCACCGTGGCCATTGAGTCTTGCTTCTTAAAGTTTTTCGCTTTTTGTAAGTAGAATCGCTTCAGGGGATTCTATGGAAGGGGTTTTTCTTTGACAACAAGTTTTGATTTGGGATTTTGAATTAAATACAGAGTTCTGACAATTTAAGTGTCTAGTGTTCGGTGGAATTTCTGGTTTATGCGGTACAATAAGGTGGGTTGGGCCTTCTGAGACCTTTTCTTAAACTGGGCTTGTTGGGCTGTACCCGATTTCCCTCTTTAAATTTTACTTTCATTAAAAAAAAAAAGGAAAAGCAGAGTGGGAAAATCAGGCGTGAAGTCAGCCTTGTAGTATATAAGAGGAGATCCACAGCAGGTTTGTCCTTGCGCCTAGCCCTTTGATTCTTCCTAGCTCTGTGCCTGACTCCGGACTCCTGTAAAACATTTAGTTTCTTCTTATTTTCCCTAACATTTTCGCACCACCATCTCACTCAGAGCCCAGGGTTAGGAGGTGTGGATTCACGCTATCATATCCCAAATCTCACTAATCAAAAAATACAAGCGTCTTCCCACCTGTATTTAAGTACCGCCATTTGTTTTGTTTTTCTCTCTGCTACTAATCTTCCTCTGTATCTGTACATTCTGATCTCAAAAAGAATACCCAGAAAGAAAGGAACCCAGGTTGTCTTTTTATTCTTTGGGTTTGTGTAGATTTGTAAGGATTAAAGGTTGTTTTTCTCGTTTTGTTTAAAGATCACAAAAACAAGAAGGGGATTTGTTTTTTGTGTGTTTGATTTGTAAGTAAAAGAACCAAAAAATGGATAAGAAGAGGATTGCGGTCCCACTTGTATGCCATGGCCATTCACGTCCCGTCGTGGATCTCTTTTACAGCCCTGTTACTCCAGATGGCTTTTTTCTCATTAGTGCCAGCAAAGGTAATTACTATTTAGTTGGTCTACGATTAAATTTTTGAGTAAAATGATTTATGATTTATTGTTTATTTATTGTATCTAGAAATGAATTTTTGTACAAGTAATCCATTGTCTTAAATTGCGATTTTTTATCTCGTTTTAGGCTAAGCTTTAGTCTATATATCATTGATTTGATATCATTAGATATAAGCCTCTATATGTATGAATTGTGGTAATAATTTGTGTGTTATAAATGTTACGACCGAAATTCTTCATAGAACTGAGAGATAAGCCCTTCTGTAGAGGGATAATTTAATAATGATGTCATGGTCATAAAAAAATGGGGCTTTACTCTTCTACTTCAGATTCCAGTCCCATGCTGAGGAATGGAGAGACTGGAGATTGGATAGGAACGTTTGAAGGACATAAGGGAGCGGTGTGGAGTGTTTGCTTGGATACAAATGCTTTACGTGCCGCTTCCGGTTCTGCTGACTTTACTGCGTATGTGATCCTTCTTGACCTCACAATATGTTGTCTTTTAACTCAGAAAGTTGTATGATTCGTTTTGTTTGTCATTCTCTTAGTTGTTATATATGCAGATTGCCTATGTAATAGAAAATATCTTGGAACATCTCAAGAAGCTTGTGGGAAATTCTTTATATGTTTACAGCATTGAGAGACTCCATGTCATTATAGTTTGTCCTTTTGCATCATTCTTTTTTCTTGTGCCTGCTCTTTACATACTCCTGTTTAATGATGCCTTGTTGATCGATTTACCAATACTATATTCTATTACTCAAAGGTGGACTATGACTCTTAATAAAGATTTGATATGCTGTAGATAACTGCTCATGCTTGAACTCTTACCACTTTGGTTTGAATGGAGATCTTTTAACTGGAGTGGCATGTGTTGTTTCATCGCTGTTTCTGGATAGAGTTGTTCAATAATAAAAAGTTTACATATCTTGTGAAATGCTATTTTTTCTTTGCAGGAAAGTATGGGATGCACTAACAGGTGATGAATTGCACTCATTTGAGCACAAGCATATAGTTCGAGCCTGTGCTTTTTCAGAGGTAAAGTTGGTTTCTTCATTCTGTTTAAACTTTCACTTAGGTAATTCCTAATTGTCTTCCGAGGTGAGTGTATATGAGGGAATATGGTAGGAAAATGGAAGAGAGATATGGTGTTTGAACCGTGTAACAGCTAATGTGGGTGCATGAACCATCAACCTTTTGACAAAGGGATATTTATACAATATTGTAGAAAGGTTGTTGTACAGCTTTCTACGTTACTATGGCCCTCACTATTAACTTTTGAAAGTAAAATTAATTGCTTCTGCCAAACCCTTGCAGTAGTTGTGAATAGTAATGCCTGTTACTAAATCCAAGCTTAACTCTGCAACATTTCAGTTCTTAGGTGGTTTCTCCTGATCTTTATTTTCTTTGGTTGACTCGACAAATAAATGTTAACCATGTTTGAATTTTGAAGGCCTGATCACCATTAAAGACTGGTGGTCATAACTATCATCATCCTTTTGTTCGTCTTCTTCTTTGCACAAGGAACTTATTAGAAGATGCTAACTAGTAACAGCACAACAGGTTATCTAGTAATGTGTTTAACTTTCAGCTGGGAACCTCTTTCTTTTCTGGTGTTACAGATGTAGCTGGACCTTTTTTCCATTGATAAAGCCATAAGACTTACTACTTTATCTTGCTATAGAAAACCATAGTAAAAAAATTCTGAATTGGCATTAGTGCAGTTTTGTCCAAATTCAAAGTCATAGGATCCATGGTGAAACTTGGGATTATTTAAAGCTAGTTATTTCATTGTTCTATGTTATTGGAAAACAGTAATAGTTGCCTTTCTGTTTAAAGGTATTTGCTCATCTCCAGTAAAGTCCTGTTATGGAATGGTTGGCTATGTTGTACCCCTAATTACTTTTTTCTTGACCAAGTACCCCTAATTATTTAGCATGTCTGTTTGTTTTACTTACTATTCTTAGTTATTCATCTTATTCAAGGGCTTTTGATCTGGTAACAGGATACACACCTTCTATTGACTGGGGGAATAGAGAAAGTCCTCCGTATTTATGATTTGAATCGTCCAGATGCACCTCCAAGAGAAGTGGACAAATCTCCTGGTTCAGTCAGAACTGTTGCATGGATGCATAGTGATCAGACAATATTAAGTTCTTGCACTGATATGGGGGCTGTCAGGTATACTTATCTCACCATGTTTGAAGGTTCTGTAATGTAATTTCTGTAACATGTGTGGTTCATTGCTCTTAATAAACAAGCATTTTTGTTTTATTTTTGTTATTTATATGTGTGGAAGGTTTTTGTCTTGTTGTATAAACCGTATAGGATCACCTCAAAATTCTTTTGCAATTTCTGGTACCACGATACTCTTTTAGAGATTTTGAGATCAAATCCTTGGATGCATGAATTTCAGTGGGGGCAAGGTTTTTAAGTTTTGTAAATTTTCTTCCTTTTTAGCCCAGGAGGAGGAAGGAACTGGGTGGATGAGTAGTTGCAGATGGTTGCCTGCTTGCTGATTTAATAACTTTTTACCTAATCTAGAGCATATTTTTAACAGTGTGTGTAACTAGGTTGAGTTTACCCAAAAGGCTGTTATTAACCTACTATATATACTGCTTATCTTTATTTTTTATGGCATTTCTCTCTCTCCTATTACTGAATTTTTTAGTGACCATACAGATTATGGGATGTAAGGAGTGGTAAAATAGTTCAAACACTAGAGACCAAGTCATCTGTGACCAGTGCTGAAGTGAGTCAAGATGGTCGATATATCACAACTGCAGATGGATCTACGGTTAAGTTCTGGGATGCAAACCAGTAAGATGACTTTTAAGCCTGATATGTTGGCTTTTTGTGCTAGAATTTCTGCTTTTTATTGATTACAGTATGCTGTGCATTATGCCTTTACTTCAGCTTTGGGTTGGTAAAGAGCCACAACATGCCATGCACGGTTGAATCAGCTTCACTGGAACCAAAGTATGGAAATAAATTCGTTGCCGGAGGGGAAGACATGTGGGTTCGTGTTTTTGATTTCCACACTGGGGATGAGATAGGTATGTTCTCAAACATAAAATAGGAGTGGACTTGATGACACAATGCTGATTAGTGTGTGAATTTGGTGTTTGAATTCAAATATGATATGTGATACTGCTCCTAATTCCATAAATGCTAGAAAAGATTGGTAGCTGTAGTTTGTTCAGTGGATTTGGTGCTTGAATGCAAACATCATACTTGATCTAGCGTTTTCTGTTTGTTTCTGTTTCTGTATGGTAACTTGTATTTTCCTGTAATTACTGATTTCCATCTGGTGCGCAGCATGCAATAAGGGTCACCATGGTCCTGTACATTGTGTGCGGTTCTCACCAGGAGGGGAATCTTATGCCTCAGGATCTGAGGATGGAACCATTAGAATATGGCAGACAGGCCCTTTGACTCATGACGACGCTGAATCGATGGCAGCAAATGGGTCAGTTGGAAAGGTGAAGGTATCTGCAGAAGAGGTTTCACACAAGATTGAGGGTTTCCACATTGCAGAAGAGGTGAAGACCAAAGAAAAAGAAGCAGGGAATGAGTAACGTGGGGGATGGTTTCGAGCTGTCTCTGCAGGCATAACCGCATCAAGCCAAGATCTTCTAGATAGTTTTCTTTGTCAGAGGTAGATAGACTAGCCTCTTTTTTTTTTTTGTATAATTTCTAGTCTTGGTGCATTTAATATATGTAGACTAGACCAAAAATGTTTTGTCAAAGTTTTAGTGGCATCTAAACTTTATGGTGCTCTCTCTGCATTCTGTGCGTACTGGTATTACTACATACTAAAGAAGGGTTCAATCACATAACAGTGTCACCTCTCTTTGATGGTAATATTCGTACAACAGTGCAGTCTTTTTTTTTTTTTCCTTTTTTGGTTGTCTCTTCTACTTTTTATGGATTATAATTTTTTCTCTATAATGCTTTGAATTTGTGTTATTTTCTTTTATTTTTTCCTTGTCACTTTATTAATATAGTATTTTCATCTAATTCATTAACGAATATAATTTTCCACATTATAATTATTAGTAATAAAAAAGAATTAATTGCAATGATAAATTTATTAATTTAGTTAACATTTTTATGATTAGTATTGATTTGGCTACTTCATATGTAATTTTTCACTTATTTCATTTTTTTTTATAATTAACAACTAAGTGTAAATTGTGAGTTATACTGATATATCTTGGTTGGATTAACATTTAAATAAATATATTAATTAACTTGTAATTCAAAGTTACAAATGATGTGAACCTACCATTTATGATTATTTATAGAAGTCCTATTAATTTATAAAAAAAAAAAATCTATGATTTTATTTGATTGATTGAGTTAGTATTGAATTTATATACATTTGTAAAATAAAATTTTGTCAAATAAAGAGAAACCCTTCTTTAAATGTATCTACTCAAGTGTCAACGAGATATGTGTTTACTTAAATCTAATCTCAATAACATTTTAATTTACTAATATTAATTAAAAAGAAAATTAATTTACTCGTCACAACAATGTACACTTACTTAGCTTATGATCTCTAAACACTAAAACGTGTAATCTTGAGATCACTTTGAAACACTTAATTCAATAGTATATACTTAGTCCTTGTGCCTTATAAAATTTTGATGCATTTAATGTTAAAAATTGTTCAGGTATTAGCTTAATCTGCACAAGTTAGATAAAATCATAACATAGAAAATTTTTTTATAAATTAACAATCAATAAATTAATAATTTTAATTAAATAATATTTTTTATTGGTTTTGAATTAAGGCCAACGTAATAAATTAAAAATTCGTTAAATTTATAAGATAATACATTTTAAAACAAATACATAGATTTCACTTTATATATAAATTAATAATTTTTTTATATATCAAAATTATATTTATACATAATTTAATTAGAATATTTTTATAAAATATGACTCTAATGTTGTTTCTTTTTAAAATTGATATCCTTTTGGATCTCATCTTTAACTTTTCTTAATATATTAAAAAATTATAATGCAGTATTCTCATATTATAAGAAAAAATTATACAATGTGATTATTATTTTTAAGTGTATCTTTGCGTAAAACAAACTCTCATATAAAACTATGGTCTTCAGTTTTTTTTTTTTGTCATACGTTTTCAATAATTTGCTTGCTACAAATAATAATAGTTCATAATTTAATAATATGGTAATATTAATATAACCACAATTCATAGTACATGTATGTAGTTTAATATTTTAAAAATAGTAAAAAATACATTGATAAATTAATTTTTTATTAATTAATGTATTAATTAATAAATTTTCATGGTTGGATAAATATTAATTTATAAAAATTTTATTATATTAAATTTAAAAAAGAAAAAATAAAGTCACAAAATCAAGACTTTACTTTATTTATTCTATAAATTCGATTTTTGCTAAGGTATGTCACTAACTTTGAGGAGTCAACCGGCACACAATATATATTATAGGCCAACGGCCGGTGGCTGAAGTAAATAATAACATTAATTAAATGGAAATAAATCGAAAAACAATAAAGTAAAATACTCCACCCTTTAAATTTTAATTAACATTTTAAGTGAATTTATTAATTTCGAAATAAATATTTTATTTTAAAAATGTAAACAACAAATTATGAAAAAATAAAAATATTTTTTCTTTTTTTATTAATTTAAATTTTATTAAAATATTTTTAAAATATAAAAAAGGTAGAAACACCAATCACTGTTCCCAGCTCCCCAACAAAGGGGAGCACTGGCCGTGAGGGGGGCCCTAGTGGTGCTCCCTTGGGAGCCTCGATCAAGCACTCTAGATGGAGAGCTATTTTTAATCAATAAAAAATGAATAAAATTATATAATAATAATTTTAAAAATTAATTAAAAGTAAAATTATTTTTTATTTTTATCATTTCGTTAATAATTAACTAACGGTTACGCCGTATCTAGTGAAATTTTTTTAAAAAATATAATATATATTTCAAAAAATAATAAAATTTTATGTAATTTAGAATATAAATTTAAGAAGAGGTATTTTATCTTAAAAAATAATATTTACCATTATCGTAATTTCTTAGAAACAATAGGGTCACTTCAGTAAGAGAATCCACTATAAGTATCCCTTCCGTTCAGATGCCAGACTCTTTTCCTGTTTCCTATCTTCGAGACCGCAAACTTTGTCTTCCATTGTTTGCCCACAAAAATTCTGTGTTTCTTTTCCATTTTATCTGTAATATCTTGGGTTCGTTCTTATTTTTGGCGGGAAAGATGTCTGGAAAAGGCGCGAAAGGTTTGATTATGGGCAAAACCTCCGCTGCTGCCAACAAGGACAAAGACAAGAAAAAACCCATCTCTCGTTCTTCTCGAGCGGGCCTCCAGGTAGATCTGTCTTTTGTCCTTTCCAATTCCTTGTTCTAATCGTAATATTTTTTTTGTTATTTGGGGTTTTGACCCTTTTGTTTATGGATACGAATTTATCCTCTAAATCTTGCGGGGTTTTGTTTTGAGTACCTGATAATGATTTGATAAGAAATTCTGAATTAATCTAGCTACTTACTAATTATAGTAGGATCTGTTTTTAGTGCCGGCTTTTGGGTTTTGGTGTTTAATTCATTAACTATGGTTAATAGTTGATGACTAAGTTGCCCACTGTTATTTGTCATTTCTCGTCCTTCTGGTTAGACAATAAGAGGATTTGTAGTGTAAATTTTTTTTATATATCCTTCTCCTTGGCACAAGGATGCCAAGCGATGCCATGCCAGCCAAAGCCAAATGATATTGCTCGTTATTGTTTGTTTGTAATATCCTAGCAATTTAATGAACACGTGTTTCAGGCATCCAAGATGCCTGGAGTTCATAAATGGACCTTGGATTTCTGGCATGTGATTTAGCCGGTTCAACAGTCACTGTAGTTTGAAAA